GAGTTGGGTTTTTCTTGTAGTGACAATTCCATAAAAATATTAAAAATGATAAAACATGTCCTTCATGCACAACATCTCTTAAAATTTGAACGATGCAGAGAAAGAAGAGATTAGCATGGCCCCTGCGCAAGAAGGATGGCAAGCATCAATCGAAAAAAAAAAAAAAATTGTCCAAAAAAAGGACCAAATTACTAAAGGGAAAAAAAAAAAAAAAAAAAAAAGCTATAAAGAAAACATGAGATGGTGAGATCCCACGTCCGATGATGTTTGTCTCATTATTTTTATTTTTAATTTTTTTTCGCATTTATTTTTATTGTCTGTGTCTTCCAGCACTTGTTATCGACCCATCCAGGGCTGCACGACCTGCCAAGACTCCGGCAAGAGCTACACGTCCGCGTGCCATTGGTAGAAGCAAGGAATTGAAGAAGGAAGTCATGCGAGAGAGAGCCTCCTCCCTCCTCTCCCTGCACGTGCCATTGGTAGAAGCAAGGAATCGAAGACGACATGCAAGAGAGAGCCTCCTCCCTCCTCTCCCTGCCAGCCACACTGAAAGGGTATTTCCGCAAGTTTCCAGTTGGCGGTGTCAAATAGTCAATTTTTGAATTTCTGAATTTTCGAATTATTGAATTTTTTGAATTTTCCCGTTGATGATGAAAAATTTTGGACGGCGATGGAGTCATCGGAGTGTGAAGTTTTATTGAACTTTTCGATATTTTTTTTTCGAGTGAAAATTTGAAACCGATCGGAAGATTATTTCCGTCTGATGGTCGAAAGAGAGCTGGCAAATTGTCGAGCTTCACGAATGCATGTTCAGCATTGGTAGTGACTCTAGTGAGTAGCCGGCTAAAGTTATATTTGTTGTTGGTGGATTTTTTATTACCCACGTTTGTAGGTGTAAGGGGGGGTAGAGTAGGATGGATGAACAAGATTAGGTAGCATAGCACATTTCGTCAGCAGAACAAAACGTAGGGCCTGGATCCACTACGCACAACGTTCCAAAAGAATCTGGACTAGAATGTTGACCAGATACATTTGGACTGATTGAGTATTTTGAAAGAATTGGACCCCTCTAATAGGGTCAAGATACATTTAGTAGGCTGTGTAGTGGAGTGAGGCCTAGAGTAGGATGATGGATAGAAGATTATGGCTCCACTACACACAAGGTTCCAAAAGAATCTGTGTAGTGGAGTGATCAAGCATATTTTTAGTGCATCGACGACCTCTAACAGGTCCAGATACATTTGGTATGCTGTGAAGTGGAGCAAGGCTCGTACTTTGTTGTAGGGTTTATTACCTATTCTTTAGTAGATGATCTATGCTGTTGTAGTCTTGTAGAGGATTTGATGTCAAGCACACACCTCATTCCAAATTTCTGTCTGTCAATCTCCGTCACACACGGTCGCACAGTGTGTGACGCTCTCCACGTAAATTTGATCCTCGGACATTGAGTTGTAACTTGTAAGGTGTTCCTAAGGTTCTCAAGTCTTTTTTTTTTTTTTTTTTTTTTTTTTTT